CTCATATTGCTAGGACTGTTCAATCCTTCCTTGCATTGCGGCAGGTACAGTTTCTTCCTTGGCCTGCGTATTCCCCAGATACGTCACCGATTGAACATGTGTGTCATTTCGTTGGTCGGTGCTTCGCTCGTGATCCTCGTCCTGTGGCTTCTACAGACGAACTTTGGGTACGCATACAAACTATATGGAATGCTCTTCCTCAGACAGACATTCAAAATTTGCTTCACTCCGTGCCACGTCGTGTAGTAGCGTTTATTGCGGTGCGTGGTGGCTACACAAAATACTGATTTCGATCTCTTGTTATTGTTTGTTTGCTTTGAAAGTTTAATCATTTATTTGTACCACTACCACTCAACTGTGTATTAAATTTCATTCAATTATGACGATTCCTTCATGGTGTTGCAATTTTCACAAACAGGAGTTTAGATTTTATTTTATTTTAAAGCTGTTCGGCTTAAAACAGTTCGGATTAAAGCTATTTAATTACCAATCCAAATTATAGATTCGAATTTGTTTATAAATGATTTAGATCACTGAATTAATACAGTTATTCGAATCTCGTAATCAGTACTTAACAGCGCTTGGTACAGGTTAGATAAACTAAGTGACTGATGCTGTAGTGACGTAATTTTAAAATTTACTAGTTGTCTCTGTTGATTAAAGAAAGATGTGTATGGAGGTTGAAGCGTATAGTCTGTTGCATATTGCTTGGGAAACCAGTAAGGCTTATCAAATTTTCAAAATAAGTTTCACAAATTGTCAAACGATGGCGCTACCGATCAGTAAAAGCTATAAGGTAATGCTTTCAAAATAACTATTACTTGAAGACAGCGTCTTGCTATCTGAGGAGAAAATGAATGTAAATATTTTCAATTAAAATAGTTAGACACGTCTCAGAGCTCATTGTTTTTAAACTTTTTTCACTCCGTAGCGTCATCTTTTGTCGAACATTGTAACTAATTTGGCAAATTCATAAACATAATATCCAGTTTCCAAAGTAAAATGTAGCAAACGTTATATTTCTGCCTCCTCTCATTCCCCTTTAAATCGTTTCACAATTTTTGGACACCTGATAGGTAAACTCTGTATTCATATTTTATTTGGTCTTTCAAATTTTTCATACCTATAATTTGTTATAAGTAATCCTATAGTAACACTGATACACCCGGTTGCACAATTTGCAGTATCGATCTGCAGCATAATCTTCCTGAATTTTAGCAGACAGAGACTATTTGTTATAAAATTTGTTATTTTGTTTAAAAAAATATTTTACTCTTTAATATTAGTGAAATAGTTGAAATTTTACAACAGTAATTCTTTATTATTTAAAATTCATTTAACGGAAGAGCAATATTTGCAGTTTTGGAAAATCATAACATTTCTTTTCCATATATGCAGAAAAAATCTGTGTGTCTGCAGAGAAAATATGTCTGCAGACTACCAAACAAAATTTGCTAAGAACCTGAAACTTGTTAAGAACCTGAAATCTTTTGTTAAGTTTCGTAAAACCTTTTGTTAAGAACCTGAAACCTGTACATAGGATTTAAAAATCTTTTTTTTTCCTCCACTCAGTAATATTTTAGACTTGTTTTTTAAATCTGCAGATGTTCTAATAGATCTGCAGAGCCTTAAAAAGTATCATAAAAAGTATTCTAACATTGTTAATACAATCTCTTACGATAAATGTCAAAACGGTAGTTACTGGTAGCTGTAAGTATCGAATACGATAATATCGTAAATGTTAATAAGTATTACTTGAGTATCAAAACTATTGACCATGTAAAAATTATGTAAATTAGTTAAATAAATATCCTGCTCACGATATATCTTAAAAATACATATTTCCTGAGAATATCGTGATATTAAAACTCCGATATCGCTTGGAACTAGAGAATACATACTTAATCAAATCATTTTATGTAAACATTATGAAAACGTAGGGTCTTTCTCTTCGTTTTTGCTTCTTTTTTGCATCAAAAGATTTATTTGCTAACCTGAAGGATATATAGTAATTAATCGACATTTGCTTGTTAAACTGTTGATATTTAATCAACCAACAAAAATATAATCTATATTTTTTTTCAGCTTTGAGTCATGTTCCACCAGCTCCGCCATGTTTTGTTCTGCCTGTACAGTTCCATGAATTTGTGAATGTAGCTGAGGCCTTAGGATATACTAGTCAATGGCTACTGAAACCTCAAACATCTGTATCTGGTCCGAAATTGGTTGATATTTTTTCACCCGTTGGTCAAGCAGAGATCGATGAGTAAGTGTTCATTATTGTTAGTGAAAAAAACAGACATATTGTATAAAAATTTGGGTGGTAATTCCTTTTAAGGTTACGATGGTTATTTCTTATGGTTATTTGGTTATTTCTTATGGTTATGAGGGTTATTTCTTATGGTTATGATGGTTATTTCTTATGGTTATGATGGTTGTTTGGTTATTTCTTATGGTTATGATGGCTATTTGGTTATTTCCTAATTTATATTTAACTGCGGTTTTCATGACAGACATCGAATGAAAGAAGAACTTAGTAGGTAATAAGGCCTTAGAAAAAATGCATGATGTTCATGAATCAGTATCTTTATTTTTTAATTTTAGAATACTTTTTAAAATTTTAAGAGAAAAATATGCAGCAGTAGGATGCAAGTTAATATTTCAAGGAAGTAATTGCTAACTTATAGCTCTGATCAAAAACGTAGTTTATTGCATGTTCTGCAATGCTTAATTATTTTTTATTCTCGAAGTCAGATTATCTAAATGATTATCGTGATCGTGATAGCATAGGTGGAATAAGTCACAAAATTAGTATTCCTTAAGTTATCTAAATTTACGTATTTATTTTGTTTATAGATATGCTTTTAAAACGTGTTACTTCTTAAAGACAAAACTTCTGGTAAAATTACAGTTATAATAAGCAGTTAATGAGGTTACTGTTAAATAAACTCTAATTTTTGTAATAAAAATCAAAATATACGGTATTTAATTTAAATCATTCATTTGGTAATTTTTCCGTTCATGTGGTAATAGTTTACTGGAAATTCTGGCTTTCAAAATTATAGTTCTTATTGTCAAATATTTTTTAAATATACAAAACTTAAAACTAAATTTAACCTAATAAAAGGTTTTTATGCCATGCTGTAAGGGATCTGGATAAGATAACGAAATTTTATCACACTTGCAAAATTTTATCACATACTATAAAACCATATTTTATTGTTATTTTTACCAAAATCATTACCAAAGCACTTTGGGAAAAATTACCGCGATTTTTAGAGTTTCCATAAAACAGTACCCACAACAGTATTAACATAGTAAAATTTACCATATTCTTCAAGTTTTGACCATACTTATTTTCTCAGTACATATAACTGATAAATTTAAAATTAATAGTATTTGTAATGAAAAAAAGTTTTGTACTAAAATCCAAAATTAATGTATCCAAAATTAACGTTTTTACCGAGAACGCCCAAATCTCTAAACTAAACCATGTGTTCCTTATCAGATATAAATAAAACTAAAAAAAGTTTCATCTCGATATTGCGTTATAATCGGGGTAATCAGCTAAATTGACCGTAAAGCTAAGGAACGCGTTTTTACCAAGATAGAAATCTCTATTTTTGTCCATGTGTTCTTTATGAGATAATAAGAAAATGTAACAAAATATTCATTGAGATATTTTGTAATTATCGAGATGATTAGCCGTATAGACAGTAATGCTAACTTGTTTTTATCAAGACAGACGCGAAGCGATCTGTAAGTGTAGAGCCCTGAAAATGTCTAGTTAACAATAACAATCTTAGAAAAATAATATAACAAGATCAACAACGTGAGCAAGAAAAAATTTAAAAGAACGAGAAAATTTTTAGAACGTCGGTTCGTTGGTTTACTTTTGTAGAGATTAGTTTGTTTGTATTTAAGGTGTATACTAACCAGTAACGGGAATGGGATAATTGCAAGTGACGTAGCGTGGGTATCTCGATCCTGATTGGTTCTTGAAACGTGGCATTTGTTTACGTTTGTAACTGTTCTTTCCATTCTATTTCGAGATAAATATATATAATGGTTACAATAAAATATGTAAGCAAATAATAAATCTAAGTTAAGACGTAGACGAGAAATAACTATATTTCTGCAATTTTGATGTGAGATACGGCACTGCATTTAATTAACTTCACATTCTAACTTATGTGGAGAAACTTAGATAAACTTTAACATGCCATCTTGCTTATAAGCAATCAGCTGGTGCTGATGTCATAAGTCTTATGTGTGGGCATCTGTGATCTTCTTCATAAAGTGCAAGTACCCAATTGCAATTTATTTGTGCTTAGTTGATGTTTCAAATAAAAGTTGTTTTTATAAATACTGTATCTTCAGTGCAGCTTGATTCAGTACAAGCTAGTCGCCACAGGCTGCTAGTAAAAAACAAGATAAATAGGCATTATGTCAGCAAAAAATTTTAGAAATTCTTTTATTTAAATGTTACAAACACTAATGATGGAATGCTTTAATAAATAATCTAGATTTACAGATAAAATGCCACAATATGATCGCTAACTTAAAGGAAATTGACTTAACTTTTCCTGATTTTAAAGTTAAAACAAAATATTAAACTGATAAATATCAATACAAAACCTATTTTTAGGAACACAAAAACGTTTCATTAGAAGACATCTTTTATCCATTTAGTTGCTAGATGTGATGTGTATTGGCCAAGTTGATTGAATTAGTGATATTTTTCAAAGTGGAGAATGATGAATGATCTTTCTTCTAAAGAATTACTTTTGAGTTCTTTTAAAGCAGCTTAACAGAATTGAAACTCATTGTTGATTGCAGGCAAGGGAGTGTCCGTTATAATTTCTATGAAGAATGTTATCTTAAGAATAATTCTATATCAAGGTTTTCGAACTATATTTGATGTACTGTTCTATCTGTTTATTTTATGTAGGGTCGCACGATTTCTATTACATGCACTCGTCGAGAGTTGTACGGGCTTCTCAATTAAAACTATTCTTTTGAATTTAAAAATAGTTCTTAAATCATAATTTCCAAGAATTTACAGCTCATAAAAATGTATAAGTTTGATATAATAGAGACATTTGTAAATTAGTATTTTATATCATCTTAACAACTTTCTATTCCCCTTTAATTTTCTTGACCGTCTTTTAGCTCTAAAAAAATCAAAATAAAAGTAATATTTTTAAAAACCACGTTTTTGTAGTGGAGAATAATAATTAAAAAACAAAAATTTGAAAAACGAAGAAAAGTGTGGTTCATGAAATACATAACAGTAATGTTATATTAGTGTGTGTATGAGAATATGTGTATGTATATCTGTAATTGTAATTGTATCTGAATGTGGATGCGTATGTGGGATATGTTTGTGTATATGCATGTGTATGAGGATGCACATGGGGATGTGTATATGGCTGTGCATGTGTGTGAGTAAGAAAATGTGTATATGTATGTGTATATGTACTGTTATGTATTTCATAAGCACCAAGTTTTTCGTTTTTCAAATTTTTGGTTTTTAATTATTATTCTCCACTACAAAAAAGTGGTTTTTAAAAATATTACTTTTGATTTTGATTTTTTTTTTTTTTTTTTTTTTTTTGGAAACTGCACGGGTTTNTTCAAAATGTAAATTTTTTCACTCACTGTACTCAAAACTTTTCAACTGACATGTGACACTAATTTGAAATAATCGAATCGACAACAAAAGACAATCGCGAAATTATTAATTTTTCTTTAATTTTAATTTTATTTTACTTTGTATGTCTTCTTTCTCTTCATTTTCATACATTGTCATCTAATTCTGATCTATATGCCAAATTTGAAGTCTGTAGCTAGTCGGGAAGTTAGTTTAAAATCGATTACAAAATTCCACCCGAACAGACATACACGAAGGCAAGTTTATATACGCGTGGTAAAAAAATGTGACTTTTCAAAGTTCTTTAAAACTCTAAATGATACAGTTTCGTAATTATTTTCACGCACTCTAAGACTGTTTATGTTACCGATAAAGACAAGTTTGAAATAAATAAATATCCGTTTTAAGTGTATGGATTGCCAAATTTAATAGATTAAAACTAGAAGCTAAATAACTCCTGTCCGATGAAGGCTTTCTAGTCTCATGCATTTTTTGAATCCGGGTCTTCCCTAAACTGATGTTTAATAAAAGTGAAGATGCGTTGTCCGTAAAATAATAAACATTGTATATATTGACTTCAGGACAAAAACGATTTGAAATAGTTAGAGAGTTTTAGAAAGTTAAAGTTGGATGTGATGGGAATGCTTTAGGCTTTAACCGTTTAATTTTAGGGGATGCCAAACTTTAACTCGCTGGCGCAGATGGAACACCAATGTCTGTTTTATACATATTTTTTCTGAAGCCCAATTGCTAGTAAAAATATACTTTGACATTATTTTAATTACAGAAGTCTAATAGGTACTTAAAACATCCTGTCTGATTCTCCAAACAATATTTGTTCTAAAATATAACATCCAAAAAAAGTAGTTGGAAGGTTTTTTTTTATTCATATTAAAAAAATTATCAATAATTGTTTTTGTGAACTATAGGAATTTCAATCATAAATTACTGTTTCTCTTGGATATAAATAACAGCAAGTACGTCAAATTTTAAAAAAAAAACTATTGTGTGGAAAGCCATGTTTGAAAGATTTTACCCTTAACGCAGGAACATTACTGGTTTTTTAATAATGTATTTCATAACTATAAATAATTAAAATGCTAATTATAATATTTTTCTCTTATTTTCACTTAAATTAATACAAAAAAATATTAAAAAGTATTAAAAATTTGTTTAATAATAATTCTGCGTCAAAGAGTTAATAAACTTAAAATAACGCAGCTAAAGACAATTTATTTTTAAAATTTTAATTTTTGTAACTGAATATTAATAATAAGAGAACGATTAAATAGTAATTATGTAATTAACAGGATTTGAAATATATATTGTCTAACATGTCAAAGGCAAGCAAAAATTACGATTGAATATTGTATTTTTTATCCCTACATTCATGGCCCGGCATGTAAATTTTTATCCTGAAATGCACTAAAATAATTTTAATCATTAATAAAAACTACTGAAACAAAGTTTGCTTATTCTTTACGTAGTCGAGCTCATTTTTACTAGACAAATTCACGTTAATCGTCGCATAAGCTGAAATTGAAATGCTGAATTGAAATTCTTTGATTCTTATTCAAAAATTTATCAATAATTGACACTGTAAATTTAAAAAATATGACTGATGAATAACTGTTTTTCTTAGATCTAAATAACTCAAAATAAATGTGAATTTTGAAACTTATTGTTTGGAAGTGAGCCGTGTTTGAATGATTTTACCTATAACGCAGAAAAAGACACAGATGTCCGATGCAGTATTTCATAACCAAAAACTATTAAAAATGCTAAATCTAACATATTTCAATTAATATGATCAAAATTAATGCAAAATAATAAATTAAAAAAATATTAAAAATATGTTTAATGAAAATTCTGCCTCAAAGGGTTAATCGTCTAGGTTGATCTTTCTTTCTTGCTTTATCTGTAACGCTCAACTATGATAATAAACAATATAAAGTAATAGAATTAATAAAGAATTTAGCTCACTTTAAAAAATTCGAAAATTCAAAGGGGACCTAATTTAAGTGTTACTTTTTAAACAAAATTGCAACCATTTTCTGTAACTTTTCTGTTACAGATATAATCTTTTTTTTTAAATTTTAAATGTAACCAGTATGTGACAAAAGTATGTAACAGTAAAAATACTCAAATTCTAAAACATATAAAATACTAAAATTTTAATAAAATTTGACTAAGACATGTAACAGGATTCTAGACAATTGTAACTGAATACATTTATTTTTCAACTCGTACATTCTTTAAATTATCACAAACTTTTTGTAAACACTTAATAACCATTAATGAATTAATTGCCTTGGTGTATCAGAGTAAAATATAAATATAAGTTGAGTAAGTGACAAAACTATTGTTGTTTCAGATTCAGCAGACGAAGAGCAGTCGCTCAGCAGATGGTGAACAGTCCCTTCAACGTGTTCGGACAACCCGTCAGTATTCGACTCTACGTTTTGGTGACGTCGATGCTGCCCCTCAGAGCTTATGTCCACTCACAAGGCATCGTGTATCACCGATATAATGAGAGCAAGAATTTCAAAAAGGTCTTCTTTCATTTAATTTTTCTGATTTTCGAGCAAGCTAAATTATGCTTTATTGTTACATCATATTTTGAATTTCATCTTTTTTTTTAAATTTATCGACTGGTACAAAACTAATGCACTATAACGAATTCTTCTAAATACTGCAAAAAACGAGTGAGTACTTTTCTGAATTCAGTCGAGAATTTTTTATTGTAAAGCAGGGCCACCACTAGCTGCTCAAATTCGTCTACTTAAATCTGTTAAATTTATCGACTGATAGAAAACTAATACATTATAACGAATTCTTTTAAATACTACAAAAAACGAGTGAGTGCATTTCTGAATTCAGTTGAGAATTTTTTATTGTAAACCAGGGCCACCACTAGCTGCTCAAATGCGTCTACTTAAGTCTGTTAAATTTATCGACTGATAGAAAACTAATACATTATAACGAATTCTTTTAAATACTACAAAAACGAGTGAGTGCATTTCTGAATTCAGTTGAGAATTTTTTATTGTAAAGCAGGGCCACCACTAGCGGCTCAAATTCGTCTACTTAAGTCTGTTGAATTTATCGACTGATAGAAAACTAATACACTATAATGAATTCTTTTAAATACTACAAAAAACGAGTGAGTGCATTTCTGAATTCAGTTGAGAATTTTTTATTGTGAAGCAGGGCCACCACTAGCGGCTCAAATTCGTCTATTTAAGTCTGTTAAATTTATCGACTGATAGAAAACTAATACACTATAACGAATTCTTTAAATACTACAAAAAACGAGTGAGTGCATTTCTGAATTCAGTTGAGAATTTTTTATTGTCAAGCAGGGCCACCACTAGCGGCTCAAATTCGTCTACTTAAGTCTGTTAAATTTATCGACTGATAGAAAACTAATACACTATAACGAATTCTTTTAAATACTACAAAAAACGAGTGAGTGCATTTCTGAATTCAGTTGAGAATTTTTTATTGTAAAGCAGGGTCACCACTAGCGGTTCAAATGCGTCTACTTAAGTCTGTTAAATTTATCGACTGATAGAAAACTAATACATTATAACGAATTCTTTTAAATACTACAAAAAACGAGTGAGTGCATTTCTGAATTCAGTTGACAATTTTTTATTGTAAAGCAGGGCCACCACTAGCGGCTCAAATTCGTCTACTTAAGTCTGTTGAATTTATCGACTGATAGAAAACTAATACACTATAACGAATTCTCCTAAATACTACAAAAAACGAGTGAGTACATTTCTGAATTCAGTTGAGTATTTTTTATTGTAAAGCAAGGCCACCACTAGCGGCTCAAATGCGTCTATTTGCTAATAAAACAGAAACAAAAAAACTGCTAAAAAGCTATTTTTTTAGAAAACTGCTGACTATTTTATAAAAAAGGTGACTGTTTTAAAAATGTATTATTGGCAAATGAACACATTAGAGTTCAGAAAACTTTTTGGAAGGGCGAATAAACAATCGAAAAAAGACAGAATCGTCGCAAACAGAGGGCGTTAGAAACTGATTACTGAAATTCGACATCACATGTAATAATAACATCGTTTTTTTTTCTTTAATGTGTGATGCGTAATGGCATGCGTAAATGGCATGCATATCAAAACTTTTTTACTCGAAGGATAAACATCCGCAAACCTTGCTTAAAATGAAAACTGTTATACGAGTATATAATCTATACTTAATTAAGATTTCTATTAACTTTATAGCTAAGAGGATATTTGTATATACATGGGCTTAATTTCTCTGCTGAGCTAAATCACCGTTAATACTTTTTGCATTATGATGAAGGCAAAAAATAGTTAATTATGTTAATAATAATATGCAGCCTATAATAATAAGTTAATAATAGTAAGGTAGTAATCTACATTAGAGCTAAGGTATGGTAAATTGAGATGGTTCATTTCTTTATTGGAATTATAAAATATGGTTACTTAGGCTTAGAATCCACTGTTGAGTTAAGATATGGTAAATTGAGATGGTTCATTTGCTTATTGGAAGTATAAAATATGGTTACTTAGGCTTAGAATCTATTATTAAGTTAAAATATGGTAAATTGATGTGGTTCATTTTGCTTATTGGAAGTATAAAGTCTGATTGCTTAGGCTTAAGTTTTATTACACAATTTGTTTTTGTTATATTCTATATGAAATTTAAAAATCAAGACAAAATTTTGCGACATCTTATGCACAAATTTTTAAAAACTAACAACTATTTTAAATGATTTATGCACATATCTTGAACTTTGCAACATTTTCAATTAGATGCTTTTAACTTTTGTTATATAATTTGATTCGTGCTTTTTCTTAATTAGGATCACCTTATTTTTTAGTTTAAAAAAAACATATTAATAAAAGGAAAAACGTTGAAATTTTTTAGAAGGTGATAATTTTAATGAGACATCCTCTTGAGTGAGGAAAAACTTTCCTTTAATAGATTTTTAAAAACCCTTTGAAGCGAAACAATTCTGTAGTAATTGAAGTTTATTATGCATCATTATTCGCGCCCCGATACTTAAAGAAAAGAAAAACTTATCAAAAGTATTTCCTTTATTAGGTTTATTTTCTCGCTTTATTAAATTTATTAAAATCTCTTAAAAAAAAATTTTTTTTTGGTAGAGAGAATATTTGGTTGTAACAAAAATGAGAGTTAAAAATTATTTTCATCAATAATGAAGATTTTCGTAGAAAGATTCTTTAAATCCAAACCGTAATTAATTTTTTTTTAAATAACGTAGATTTTATTAATTCTGTATGCATTTGCAATTAGAATTCTATCTTTATTTTCATTCTATATGATTATGAAATCAAATCAATCGTTAAATTATAGTTACCATCTACACTATAAAAACCATAACACAGAAAATGATTGGTAAAAAAAATACTGGCAATGAAGATAGTACCACTATTTACTATAAATGTTTATAGAAGAAAACATGGTAAAAAAGTATGAATAAATAACTAATAAGTCACTCCCTGGAACCAAACCCGAAGATACTCATTAAAAAGTTAGCATGCTAACCCCTGTACCATCCTGTTATTTGGAGTTTTCTGTTTTATAATCATATAAAATATAATGGAGGAAAAGTTAAACAGTACATTAAAAGAAAATTTCCATGGCCCTTATTGACATTAATATTGTCTACTTTTTCGCATAATTTATTTTAACCGTTCTAATAGTTTTTATAATAGATACTACATTTTACAACGCAAAATAAGCTATTTACAGCTTAAAGTACAAAAATTCTCTGTCAAGAAATTAAAAAGTTTAAAACAACTAGAATACATTATAAGCCTAAACCTAGTAATTAAAAACCGTTATGAAGTTTAAGTTACGTAAGTGTGTATAAATATTTGAATTAATGTCTCGACTTTTTTTATATTCCAATTTCCTTTCAAATGAAATAAATCTAACTTGGGATTACAGGAAATGAAATTTTTAAAGCTCTTAACTTTATAATAAAAAAAATTGATCTAAAATATTTTCTTCCGAAGAAAATTTGGCTTTCTCAAATAATATTTCCCTCAGGAATAAGCAAACTTACGCCCACTTTTACATATTTTATTGTTGTTTGTAAAATTTTCATACCACCCACCAGCTCGGCAGTAACATTTACTTAACCCTAACTGCAAAACACAAACTTTAATTTTGAGTAGAGATTTAGCTTGAAAATTCTAAAATAAATTCCCGCTACGAGTGATTTTATATCCAGATACTATGAGAAATATGCAAATAAATGCATATTTAAATGTACAATGAACAAAATACATGTTAAAAGCATTGCAATTGTATATTTATAAAATACACGAGGAACATACATATGGAAAATCGCATTCATTCTTTTCTTGAATAATTCCGTATGACGTAAGTATGACTTTTAAAATTACTTTTTTGAATTCCCATTTCGAATTCTTTTTCTCAGTTAAAGTGTGAATTGCTCACTTCTGCTATTATCGATCTTTTTAGTCTATTATTTATTTAACATTTTTAAATTCGAATTTTCTCTAATTTTTTCAGTTCTTTCAAGAATTCTTGAACAAGTCTTTATGTTCTATTGGTATTTTATATTTTGTAACAGCTTGTAATTTATAGGAGTTTTCGCTATTTTACATATATTTCTATTCCTATCTATCGTTAATTTTATTTTATTTTATAACCGTCGTGGAGCAGCCGACCCAATTTTGAGTTTACCACTACCCATGTTGAACTCCGTAGCCTCGTAATTTTGAACCTAAGCCTGAAGACAAAGGAACTTTTGGATCAAGTATTTGGAGAAATTTGCCTTCATAGAGTACTTTTTGATGGAACTGACCCGCATTTGTGATACATGGAGAGGAAATTCATGAAAACCACCCACGGTTACCTTGACCGCAAGGGATCTCTAACCAACAATCCGTCTACCACTGAGGATATTTTACGTCAGCACTGTGGTCGGTGCAAGCCGGATGCGGAATTCGTATTGGCCAGCCATTGCTGGGATTCGAACCCGGTTCACCTCATTTGAAGGCGAGCACTCTATTCCCTGAGTCATCACGACTCTAGCTATCGTTAATTATAGATATTTCTTCATTTTAAAATCGAGCTGAATATTATGATTGTATTTAAGAAGAGATTGGAAGAGCTAAATGTTATGATCCTCGCGGTTTTTTTCAAATTTAATTCAAATTTCAATCTATGTTGATTAGTTAGTTCATTATAATTTCACGAGCCGTTGGCGACCCACTTGGTCACCCTCTCGAACTTGCCGCTTTGAGCTTCCACATTGCATAGTCTGACATTGTGGTAAAACAAGAAAATACTTTCAAATTGTCGACATTAAAAATAATGAAAAAAATTTACATTTATGCGAAATTAGTCTAAAAAACTATAGTGTCACTAAAATCACAAATTGAAGTTGGCAACACTTAACACAGTTGGCAACTAAGTTGGCAACACTTAACACAGTTGGCAACTAAGTTGGAAGCACTTAACGCATGTGTAAATGCGTTGAATTGATTCATAGACGAATAATTCCATTGTGATGTCACAACAATGTATTTTCAAGAGCTTCTTTTTGCCCTAGTTCCTCTATAAACTTTAAAAAGAAATCTTTTGTTAGTGTTAAGGATTTAAAGATTAAATATTCTACAATTTAGTGTGGCATGTTTGCTTTTATTTTTTCTGTTATAAATCGAGAAAGAAAAATCTAGATTAATAATTTACACAAAAACATTTAAATAATAACTGTAAAAAAATAAAACTTATTCGTACTTATTCTCCTATTAAATGAGTTATGATGAATGTTGATGCGTTGATGGTAACTTGATGTGCTTGATGTGAACGGGTAAATATGTAATATATAAATTACACATGAAAATGAATTTAAAAATAGTAAAAATTAGAATGACAAGTTAAAATATAGTTTAATCGAAAGTTACTTCAAGATCTAAGAAATAAATCAATTTTGTCTTTTCATATATGTTCAACATACTATAAAAAAGCATCCAAGTAATTAAAAACGAAAAATAACAATAAATATTACAGCAACAATAATGAATTCAATCAAAAATAATAAAAGAATAAAAAAAAGTGCTGAAATCGTAATCCTAATGAGTTGTAACGTTTATTGCCGTAAAGTGGCGCTGTATGTGTAAGAGCAGTAAGCGTTATCATTTTCGCGGTAGAAAATAAATATGTGTCGCTCTCTCTCATGCTTCAAGTGATCACTCTTCAATATTTATCTATATTGTTGTTGGTTTCCTACATAACAACTTAAAATGATGCTTAACTCTTTCTGGCGTTGAAAATTTTGATTGAAAATTTTAGATAGGTAGCACATTGCAATTACAATCGTAGTCCATGAATTCAAAAAAACGGGATGTACTTGCACTCCATTATGTTTAAAAAATAGTGAACGTTTAGAAGCGAATAGTTTTTGGTAGTTCGCAATATTTTTTTGAAAAGTGCTGCCAGACTGGCAACACTGCATCGGAAAGGACTAAGATTAGAATGCTTTTTCAATATAATAATTTTTTGGCTTTTAAACGATATACATCAATTGTAAAAGATAACTATATAAAATTTGAAATCTGTGCATTTTGGATACAGTATTAGTTTATTTTCAAATAATTAAAATGAATATTTTAGATTTTTAATGAATAAGTTTTTTACAAGTAATAAAAATTAAAAATATAGATTTTTAATTTGAATTTCTCCTAATTTAATTGGAAATTAATGCAAATGCTAAAAAAAATTAAAGCATGGCATTTTTTATTCAAAACAATTAAATGCTTTTTTTAAAGCTCATTATTTTCTGTTAGAATCAAAACTCAGAATTATCAATTTTTTTTTTAAATTCTTAATCTTTTCAAAAATATTTCGTAGATATTTTTGCATTCAAAGAACACAAAGAAATTCAAAAAAATTCATTTATTTGGAAAAAAATGTCCGCCCTGGGCTATTTTAAATGTTTTTCTTTTCTGAACTTATTTTCATTTGGAAGTTTTTTAAGCGAACTAACTGTCTTTGAATGTTACTAACAAAAAAATAATGATGTTTAAAAATTTTGGATGCTAGGAATTTTCATATAAATAAAGAAAAACGTATCGGTTCGTTTAGCTGATTTAACTTCAAAGTTCAAAGAGCCTCGTAGTGATAACCTCGAGTTATCAAATTATTAATATTATAAAAATATTGAATTTTAAATAATCTGGCTACATTTTAATCACCAAAAAGATCGTGAGAATTTAATATAACCCTTGTATTTAAAACATTTTTGCGGTTAGAGAAATAAAGCAGCTCATGAGAGAAATTCGCGAAAAAATAGATTTTGATAGACAAATAATCGCGACAGTGCATAAATGCATAAACATACATACATTTGCATTGAACTAAAAAGTTATTCGTTACATTGTTTGTTAAGAAAAGAATAAAATATTTACATTCGTTTTTTTATAAAATGTGATATAAATTAAAAAATTGATTAAATTTAATTATATTTGGATTAAGAGTGATTAAAAATGAAATTGTGAAATTAGAGAAATTTTAAAAGGTAGGAAATAAGCAATGCCTATTATGTCATGACATTCTATTTAATAAATGAGAAGTTGAAGATTACTTCCTGAATAATCATAATATTTTTAAATAATCATAACTGAAAATGACCTCATACATTGACGATGCCTCTTATTGTTTATTTATTTAGATTCCTGGAAGAACTTGGCCTCTTTCTCAGTTCTGGCAGTACGTATCAAAGAACCATGGTTTCGAGGCGGTCACATCCGCAATTCATCATGTACATGAGACAATCGTACATCTTCTTTTGTTGGCTGAGCTCGGTCTCATGTCATCGCCAACTGAAGACGTGATTAGTGGACTTGGCAAAGGCAGGCGATTCAAGTAAGATAGCCTTGCTAAGTTTTTATGAAAGTCGTAAATTTTAGTAAAGTTAAAAAAAGGAGTAATATAAAAAGAGTTAAGATCACTGTTTCAAAACACAAATTGCATTGATTAAAAAAATGGCGAAAATAGCTTTTAAAAACTTTTAATTTTTGCATTGTAATATTTTATTTTATAATCTGCGCTGAATAACAGTATATATCTATCTATGTCTTATGACATATCAGCTCTGTAGCCTTACCAATTTTGAACCCAACCCTGTTGACAAGGGAACTCCTGGATCAAGCAATGAGACAAACTGGGCTTCGTAGAGACCTTTTTTGATAATAACAACCCACATTTGCATTAAATGGACAGTAAAACCACGAAAACCTTCCATGGTTAACCTAACGATAGGGAATTCTAACCAATAAACCGTTTACCAATGAGGATATTTTACGTGAGCATTTTGGTCGATGCAAGCAGGGAGGGGATTTCATAACTACCTGCCATCGCTAAGATTCGAACCTGGGTCACCTCATTGAGATAGATACAAGTGCTCCGTCCTTTAAACCTCCGCAGCTTTAAGAGAAATATTGTTATTTTTCTGCAAAAAAAATGTTTTTATGACTAGTTGAATTGCGCGCTTTCCTTTTTAACTCACAAAATTGTAGGAAATGTAAGAAAGAAGGACCAAATGTTGTAACTTGGAAAGCGTAGTTTGTCCCGTAAATTTAAAACAATAAACTATCGGTAGCTGAGCGGAGTCACGCACCAAATGTTTTAAAGCGTGAAGGCAATAAGTTGAAATACCGCCATAACCTTGAATGTATCTCTGTACTTTCTTTTTCTAATATGTGCTTCGTGATTCTTCTATGTGCTTGTATTGTTTATTAGTCGTTTGATTGTATTGATCTCACAAGCCTGTAAGGTATGAAGAACGAAAATAAGTAAAACAATATATATGAACTGTAAGCAACTGTATCATTTTTAATTTTGAATAGCAAAAATTAAATTTAACTCTACTCTTTTATTCTTTTTACAAATGAATGCATTAGAAACATTCGAATGTAAGGACTAATATAAATTACCATTTACATTAATAATCAGATTAACATTGGCCTACGAACAGGAATACTTAAAATTTTCTGGCAACTATTCTAACGAACTCAATCTAACTACTTGTCAATAACGACATTGAAGAAATGTCATTCAAGTATCAACAACATTTAAGAATTTCAATCTAATTATCAACAGCATTCAACAATTTCAATCTAATAATTCACAGCATTTAAGACATTGATTCTAAGTATCAACAACATATAAGAATTTCAATCTAAGTATCAACAATATTTCAGAATTTCAATCAAGTGTCAACAGCATATAAGAAATTTCAATCTACTTATCATCAACATTACAGAATTTCACAATTCAAGTATCAACATCTAAGAATTTCAAGTACCAAAAGCATTTAAAAAATTCAATCTTTACCGAACCAACAACATCTATGGGATCGTCAAGTCACCATTTCAACTTTAAGTATCAAAAGATAAAATTTTTCAATCTTTTTCTATTGAAAACATTTTTATTAATTTATCATAGGTTTATTCCGAAATTAATTGTAACCAGTGTTAATTATAAACATTTCTTGAATTAATTAGCGTTATAAAGCTAACTCTAACAAGTACACTTTAATTGATTTTTACACTCTAAATCAAAATGACTTGGGAAGAACATTCGGACATTTTTTGGACATTTCCCCTTACGGACACTTTCTTTGGAATATGTAGGTACATTATAATTAACAAAAATTAATTTAATGGGTGGTATGCAATCTTTTTCATTTTAATTTTTTTACTTTAATGATTTACTGTGAGTTCAATTAAATATTTTCGATATTAATTTGTACACAATTACAGCAAGTAATTGAAATGCAAACAAAGTATTGATTACATTTTTTTTTAAACTCTAATGCTAACAAATCTCATTCAATTTTAAATACATATAGAAAAAACTAAAAGAAAACATTCAACTTTGATTTTGAAATGAATATTCCAGAGTAGAAAATTAAATCCATTCCTTTTATTTAATTCTTTTTTTTTCTTCCTGGGAAACAAATTTTACCAAAATTGAAAAGAGAAAAAAACGAATTTAAAGTTACACAAACGAAAAAAAAATGACATTGAAGATGAAACTTAGTTCAATTTATTCATTAAAAAAATGCAGCCAATGGTAGAACTTATGCGGGAAAATGCAATTTGATTTCTGACCGATCAATTACTTTTCTTGGAAAAGTTAATTCGGATAAAACATTTTAAAATGATGAAAAGAAAAATTTAATCTCATCTTACCGAAAATATGAAAAGTGGCATAAGCGAAATATTTTTCTTTCAAAATAGGAGTATTTCGTGAATTTTATCTGCCGCAATATTTTATCATACAATTCTGTATCGAAGAAGAACATAGCAGAAAACGAACACAATAGAAACGAATGTTGCTTGAACCATTGTTAATGATGCTAATTTTTAATTAATGTTTGTAATTTTGTATAATGTTGTAAAACATGGTGTACACTTTTAATGATCTATTTAATATTGAAATTGTAATCTTTTAAAAAATAATTGCACCATCAGAATTGCGTTTTCTTTTTATTATCAAATACATAAACTCAATTCTAAGTTTCAAAAATGAATTGCGTAAAATTATGAATGTACGCTTAATGAATAAAACAATATTATTTTTATTGATTTGATATCATTATTGTTTTTTGTTGATATTTGATATTGTTCTTTTCTATTGATTAAATAGCATTATTATATTTATTTAGTATCATTATTATTTGATTTTCTTTTCTTTTTTTAATAACTTGTCTTCATCCTTTGATAGTTCTTAATATTTTCCTTCCTTTTATAGTTTATATTTCATATTAAATCTTCGTAATTACAATTTAATTAATAGTAAACTTTTAAAATCGATATAAACTCACCATTTTTTTTTCTTTTTTTTTATACATTTTGTATCTGTGAATTATTAAATTTATAATTAAATGGTAACGTCGGTGTTACATTAAAACGTGATAATTATTTACATAAACTTATCATCATCAAGCACATAATTCTTGTACTAATAGACATGGCATAATTCTTGTGCTTCCTTTTTTTACATTTTTCTTCTACAGAGAAGAAAATTAATCTTAAATTTTTTATTGAATTTTTCCTGTACTTTTAAAATTGAGCTCTGCATTGCTATTTTTACGGTTTTTATTTTGTCATATGCATAATATCTTGTAAATACTTTTTTTTTAAAAAAAAGCGTTTACTTTATCTGTATTATAATTTAAAATATTATAAAATTAACTTTTAATTATAAATCGTCACTCAAAATATATGCTTAAAATACGCGTAATTCTTAATGTTTTTTATTATTGCGGAATTTTATATTAATATTATTACATATTAATATTATTGCACATTAATTGATAAATAACTTTTAAAAATTAAAACGCATTCACCACATCTATGTTTCATAAAATTATTTACGTTACGGATAAACGTTAAATTTAATGAAAGGTAGATGCATTAAGGAAATTCTTTAAATTAGTTGTTATCTTTTTATTTATATTTAAAATGTTTTAACCATTAAAAATTTTTTTATTTCATTTAATATATGATTTGCGTAAATTTACTTTACTTTAGAAAATTGAAATACATTCAACATTTTTTTATTAGATAAATATTATAGTTATCAAAATGTAGATATATTTAGGAAAATCTTTAGTTATGTATAACCACACTTTTATCTGTAAAATATTTTTAATATTTTTCTTTACTTTATTCAACACATGATTTACTCTTTGCACTTAAGTTTTTACAACTTTACTGATCGGATGTTATTAAATCCATTCTTACAGTTAAAATTTTTATTAGTGTAAAGAAAATAAAACTTCGGGTTTTACTTGCTGTCATAAAAATATGTCATAAATAAACTTAATTTACACCGTTTCAAGTTAATATTTCTGGATGTTAAAAGTACAGAAGAACATCCTAATTCTAAACAATGGATAGAAGTCTTTTGTACAAGCATTTGAAAGAAAACCGAAATTTAATGAGAAAAGAAACAAAGTAAAAAAAAGTGAAGCTTCAGCTACGTTCTCTGATGTCATTTAAAAGCGGAAGTGACAGTAGGGCGAATCCCCCTTGTTTGGAATTCATTGGCGAAGTTTGTTTGACTTCGTAATTAAGCGAAAACCCCAAAAAGTCTGTAACTCTCACCCCAGCACTTGGCAGAACACTTGCTCAACTGTTCGATGCGGTCGATAAGGAAAGGCTAGGACGTCTGAATGTCTCTCTCTCTTCCCCATCTATTGTTGCGAATTCGTCAGCAGCCCTCTCTTTTTATTTGTCCTATTTTTCCTGATCCAGATTGACGCTGATAGCTCTTCGTGAGATTTAACTGATTTAAAATTCAGGAGCTCTTAGAAAAGGTGGCGTCTCCGCTATGCATTCGATTAGAACTTCATTATTCGAACCGGAAATCGATACTCGTGCAAACGATTTTTGATAATCTTTATTGCTTTGAGAACCATTATATCATTTTCATTCTTTGGATTAATATGTATGATAAGAGTGATTACTGAAGGGTTTTGGTGGAAATTGTATTCATTTTCAGAGTATTAGGTATTTCAAAGGGACTTGTTTTGGATACAACTGATTTTGAACTTCGCGTAGCAAACGCGGGATCGATATTCAGTTATTAATCGAGTTTATTTTTCTACTTATCGTTTTGGCATCATTTTTCGTCATTTCCTTTTTTTTTAAGTAAAATTACGTTTTATAACGATTCGGCAGTAGTTATAAGCTTTAATTTTGAATAAAAAACGAGCTTTTTCTTTTTTTATTTGTTGTCTACGAACCCTTTTCGTATCCTTAATATTATTTTTTCACGTTTTTTTTTTTTCATGCGGGTGAAATTCGCCTCACGTGACCTTACAAATTTAATTGCTTGGATCATAGTTGGATTGA